CTTAGACTAGACACCTTCTCCCAAGCAGAGCGCAAAACACTTGCTTTTAGGAAATCAATCATTGGCTTCAAATCTCACCTGAGTGCTACTCTTTACATATGACAGCTCGTTATGGTACCATAGCTATCAAGACAGAGAGAGCTAAGGTAGTCCCTCTTGGTTACCATGATAATGGCGCATAAACCAGAGGTAATCTGACTAATGTTACTAATATACGTATATTATGATATGTGAAGTGAAGATATATGTAGATATCAATAAATGTGTATGAACATTCTTATGTGTTTGGTGTTACGTATATGGATATTACATAAAGTCATTAATCAGGGTTATATGACAACTACACAAAAAACAAATGTTGTGTCACATATTGATTAAAATAAGCGATTTGATCTGAATGTTAAAACAATGAGATGTTAAGCAAACTGTAATTACTGACTTGTGAGGCATTATTTAAATATATATGACGTACTTCATATTTTCATTAATGCTGGTGAGAGATTGTTTTCAAATTCAAAACTGAAATATTTGGCAGGTAGTGGAGTTCCGTTGAAGATAAAAAGAGTAATAAATGAGCTGGAATTTGAGGCAAAATCACAGTTTGACTTGATATTTTTAGTTGTAGTAGCAAAGAACATTTTTGATTGGATCAAAACAAAATGTTCATGAGTGGGTAAAAATTATCTATGAAATGTGAAATCTACATTCAGTAGTGTATGTTTCAGGACAATCAAAAAAACCATAAAGTGCCCTGAAGAAGATGTACTTTAATGGAATATTGCCAATGTTTATCATTTCTGCACCTTCAATGGGATCATTATATCCTAAAGCTCAAGAATTGTCCAGGACTAACTTCCAGCCAGAGATGATCTAAGCACCAGAAGGGCCAAACTTTATCAGCATCAACAACTTTGGCTTTATCCACGTAGTAAACAGCATCAAGGCCATCAAAAGTTTACCAAAATGGATGTAGGGACATCATCCTCCATCACTATCCAAATGTTTCTGGTCACAGACTGAATGACAAACAGAACTGGAGCCCTGAGATCACCCTAACAATTATAACCCAAAGTCCCATGCTTCAACAACCACCTATCCTGAGTAGCATTGTCAAGTACAGGACATAAAGTGGATGGAAGGAAGATCACCACCTGAAGCATGAAGATCCATCAACAAAGTTCGGGGATGAGGTGCAACAGATTTGAATGAGGTAGCTTAGATGTGGAAAATCAAAGAAATCATCCATCAAGAATATTGGTCAAGGAACATGGCTAGATTCATTTCGTTTGTAGTTTGTTCTGGGTTATTCCCTATGGTGTCACATGTGCTTTCTCATGAGAATGATTGCTGTAAAGTAAAATAAACTACTTCCAAGTGATACTTTAAGAATATATCACCCCTTATCTGTTCTGTTGGAATGACCATCAGCTGCATGGATTTAGACTGACCCAAAGCCCATTAAAAGAATTGCCTTTCATTACAATGACTCACTTTCTTAATTGATTTGAATAAATAAATATTGCTTTTTCACTTTGCTTACATTACATTTAATCTTTCTCTTCAAACACAGAGAACTCATATTTATGCCATAATGTATTTTCTGTTTGAGCCTTATGCCATTTGTCAGATTCTACCTGAAAGATAAAATTACTGGTGTTTGATAGGTAATTAATACTTAAAACATGATTTCTGAAGATCCCTCGTTACTATTTAACTGGCAGATTGTAAAGGGAGAGATTTGATATCAATTATGATCTGAAGCTCACCCTGTTTGATATGTCAGAGTAAAAATGGTAAAGTATAACCATTGGTCCACACAAGGGGTGCATGGGTAGCCTCATGTGGAAGAAAAGAGGCAAGTGTCTCCTCCTCCTCCCCTGAAATTGTATTTTTTTAATTTTGTGCAAAGGTACTCAAGGGTTATCTGTGGTACCCTTCCCATCTCTAATTTAGGAATAATAGACTAGAGGGAAGGCAGTTATTTAATACCATCCACCAACAACTCTTAAGGGTACTCTTTTTACCAATGGAAAGTGGAACTGACTGTCATGTTATAACCCCCCCTGAAAAGGTGAGAATGTTCAGTGACAGGATTATAACTCATGATTCGCAAATTGTAGAGTCGAGCATCATAACTAACTGGCTATAAAAAAATCAACTGGTTTATTTTTTTAATAGTTATATTATAGGAAATGAAATGGATAAATTCTCCACCAAGTTTAACCAGGGCAGATGGCTTATTAATATGTCCCCCACCTTTGCTAAAACTTTACTGTTTCATTTTGCCTATGTAGGACCTAATTAATATCTAATTTAAACTTTTGACACTTTAAAGCTTCAGTAAATTATATTTTAACAGACATTATTATTATTTTCAATGTGTTTGAACAACCGCATCATAAGTTTCAGAAACAACTGCTGTACACCAATATTCACTTCATTTTCACTCTGGCTCTATCCCTCCATACTTTAAGAGTTATTGGGTAAGCATGGATCACTAACTCATAAGGTGAACTTGGCTTTGGTAGCTTCAGCATTTCATAGAATTAGTGATTGCAAGACAGGGCACTCATGGTCTGGTCCCCAAGTAAGGTTGGCGATTTTGTTGGCAAGTTTTAGCATACTTATCAGTTGACCTCCCCTTTTAGAAAATCCTTTGTGGAAAATTCCTCTTTTAACACAGTGAAAAATTAAAAGAATGATAATTAGCTGTTGTCTATTTAACCAGGATATTTACAATTCATTGGCCTGGTTGATTAGCTGATGGGTTTAAAGTTCATGATCACCATTAAATTAACCACTAAGATGGTAGAACTGCTTGGTCAAGTGAACACGTGATCTCCTTCAAATTGGCATGAAAGGAAGTGTTTTCTATATCCATATACACTTTTAAAAGGGTCATTCTGTTCCAATAATTAAGTTAACCTTACATATACTTATAGTTTTAGGTTATCAGATTTTATTACTGGAACAGAAGCTACAGAATGGAGGAGGAGGTGTTCTATTGTCTATCCCAAGCAATTGAAAATTGAGTCATGAATGTGCTACAAAGCTCAAAAATTTAATTACCAAATAGTGATTCAGATACAACATAACAATGACGGTCCACTGACTAAAATCTGTTCGTATTCATACACTAAGATAAAATATTTACCATAAGTCCCTGCCCAACAGGTCTTGATCCTGTCAGCAGTCAAGTTGCCATCAATTTTGTGTCATCTCAAACACCATTCGCTGAGATGCAGCCCACATTTGTATTGGTCAACCAACATGATTCCCTGCAAATGTTGCCCATGATACCACTCTCCTCTATATCATCAAACAAATTATCATTGACTTTTGCTAAACATTTTAAATTTACCTATAAAGCATCCTCATCCAGGTTTCATCATCCCATTGTTTAAAGTATGATCACCTGATGCCCATTTCAACCTTTTGGTTTTGATATCTCTCCTAAGCAGTGTATTTTAAGCAGCTATACATCCATTGAGGCTACTTCATGCTAATATATATCATACTTTTCTGGAGGAAACATTTCCACCTAGACATACAGCTAGGTCATTAGCCAAATCTTTACTGAATTTGTTGCACATCATGTAAACAGCATACCCTGAGTTACGTAACATTGCTTTTGAAGTGTTTGGGCTGAAAGGAAGGACAAGCATGTTTGGTGGGACGGGAATTTGAACCTGCAACTCTCAGATTGCTAGTCAATGTCCCCTAACCACCTGGCCAAAGATAGTGTAAGGGATTCAAAGAAAACAGAAAGAAGTACAATAAAAACATGCCAACAAGACTCAACACATAATTTATTGGAATCTAGACTTAAATTTACAAAAGCCTGTTTTGGTCCTTACCAACTAAACATGTGAATACACTCATATTTCATACTTTTTAATTTATAGTAGATGTGTGAAAGTATCACAAATATCAAGGAATGAGAAACAAATCTTAAGAACTCACTTGTCAAAAGTTTATCTTAGCTTGAATATACAGAAAGAAAACTCTAGATACAATAAAGATAAGAACTTGATAAAACAAAGTATTTCAGTGTAATTTACATTAGAAATTTTTTCTTTTATGATCCTAATGCGATTCATTTGTATATTTTCTTCACAAAATCAACTCCTGAAATTTACTTTAGTACTGTATAGCTTGAGGTACTCCATTTACTACTCTTTTCTTTAACACTCCATCTTCGCGCACCGTCACAGTTTCTACACCATTTTCAGTGACTCTGCGAGAAATAAAATAATTAGACATCTTAATAACAAATACCAGTAAATGTGTTTTTATAACTTGTATAAAAGATTTTTCAAACTGTATAAAGTAACTAATCCTGTTACTTTAAAGCCAGTCTTTATGTATTTAAATAATATGCCCCACTCTTTATAAAACCAGGATTTGTATGTTTAAAGTCATTTTTATTACATTTCATAAGAAATAAAATAATTAGACATCTTAATAACAAATACCAGTAAATGTGTTTTATAACTTGTATAAAAGATTTTTCAAACTGTGTAAAGTAACTAATCCTGTTACTTTAAAGCCAGTCTTTATGTATTTAAATAATATGCCCCACTCTTTATAAAACCAGGATTTGTATGTTTAAAGTAATTTTTATTACATTTCATAAGAAATAAAATAATTAGACATCTTAATAACAAATACCAGTAAATGTGTTTTATAACTTGTATAAAAGATTTTTGAAACTGTATAAAGTAACTAATCCTGTTACTTTAAAGCCAGTCTTTATGTATTTAAATAATATGCCCCACTCTTTATAAAGCTAGGATTTGTATGTTTAAAGTCATTTTTATTACATTTCATAAGAAACTTGTGTTTATAAGTCAAGCTTTACCCCAATGAAAGCTTTGTTGTTTGAAAGAATCAGCTCTGACCAATGCAAAGCAGGTTTTAATTGTTTACAAGATAGGCCCTAACATTTTAAAATAAAGATGTGCTTGTTTCAATAAATAAGCTCTAGTACTCAAAAACGTAAGCTTTGCTATTAGAGCAGGTTTTTACCAATTTAAAATAACTTGTTTTTAAACTATAATTTTTGGAAGCCAGCCCTTATTTGGTTAAATCCTTACACTTTAATAGAAAGTTCTATATGTGAAAATGTGCAGCCCTGACATTTTAAGATCACTGATACAAAAGCTAGTCCTGACACTTTCAATGTACATTATAATTATAAAAGAACCAGTCCTTTCACTAGATAAAAAAACATAGAACTTAGATATCACAAACTGTTTAAAATGAATATGTATGGAGAATTTGTACACTCATCTAATTGAGAACTTTTCAAAAGTTCCCCATATCTTCAGTTACTGTTAGTGCCAAATTGCTACCATTACTGTTAGTGCTAAGTTGTTAGCTTCTGTTAGGGCTAAATCACTACAATTACTGTTATTGCTTAATTGATACAGTTACTGTTAGTTCTAAATTGGTAGCTACTGTCAGTGGTAATGTCAGCCATAATGAGATTGAAGGTGATGTTCATTTAGTATGTGACAAAGATAAATCCACACTAATTATCAGGTTCCACTTGCACAAACTTAAGTTTAAGTTTTATGGAGTTAAAAACCACATCAAGTAGCATCATTTGAAGCAATCTTTAATATGACGAGTCATTTTCACTCATTAAGGCACAAAAGGTGTCTGGTCAACCTACACAGTAGATCACATAGGTAGGCAAACTGGTACTTGAGGCCAATTTCAACGTCAATCTCTAGCTAATATACTAATAAATCCTATCAACAAAATATATTGCTGCTGTTTTTTCAAAATAATGCATATTGGAAGTTCATGGTTCATGGAAGTTTTAATGGTTTACAGAACAAAGACGTGAACCTCCAAATTCAGCACTGTATCCATATTTTCAAATTTCAGCTAACACGCTATCTTGTAGCTATATGAAATGCTAAGCTGTACATGTAACAATGCTCCTTTTGTAATTATTTTGGGACTATACACTTTAATTGTTTGAGCTACAGAAGAATAAGTGGTTTTAAAAACACCAAACAATTCTCAGTGATACTCTTTAAGTGGCTGTGTAACAAACACATTCCATGTTTCACGAAAGTTCTACTTTTCAGCGTTTATTGAATCAGAGAAGAGCCTCGAAACACAAAATCTGCATCAAACCTCAAAATAAGAATATTCATTAAACTGCAAAACATAATATCATCATCATTAACAATACCTGATGAGTTGAAAACATACAACTTCAATATTCGTTGTAATAAAAAATAAATATTTTCATGCCTGAATTATTGGAGCAATATCTTAAAACACTAATACTTACTTTGTTGTTTCTATTCTTTTCCCATTTACAATTCGAGTTGATTTGGAAGTTTTCTTGACCCCTGCCTGTACTGAGCCAGTGTTAAAACCACTAGCAATTGACGAGCTACTAAAACTTGTAAACCTACAAAACATTAAGACCATGCAGTCAGAAACACTGTTAATATCTTTAACAGGGAAGGATAATTAAACATCAAACCTTACTACACACACATATACGAAGGTGCAACAACTATTATACAAGCATAATAACTGTCTCTGTATGTTAACAGAAAAATTCATAATAGCAAGCATCCTTGCTGTCACCTCTTTATACACTAATCATTTGTCAACTTCATAAAGACCAGATCAATATGTCACTTTAAAACCTATTTCAGGTTTTTAACAGGCGACTTATCTACACCTTAAAATGCAACTTCAATCAAATAGACATACCATATAATTATCACCTTAAGTATAGCAGTACACTACAAAATATCATTTCAAATACATCACATACCAAAAAAGTATCACCTCCAGTAGGTTGCTCACCAAACAAAAAGTATCACCTCCAGTAGGTTGCTCACCAAACAAAAATTATCACCTCCAGTAGGTTGCTCACCAAACAAAAATTATCACCTCCAGTAGGTTGCCCACCAAACAAAAAGTATCACCTCCAGTAGGTTGCCGGAGGTGATACTTTTTGTTTGGTGAGCAACCTACTGGAGGTGAACTTTTTGTTTGGTGAGCAACCTACTGGAGGTGATACTTTTTGTTTGGTGAGCAACCTACTGGAGGTGATACTTTTTGTTTGGTGAGCAACCTACTACCAAACAAAAGTATCACCTCCAGTAGGTTGCCCACCAAACAAAAGTATCACCTCCAGTAGGTTGCTCACCAAACAAAAGTATCACCTCCAGTAGGTTGCCCACCAGACAAAAAGTATCACCTCCAGTAGGTTGCTCACCAAACAAAAGTATCACCTCCAGTAGGTTGCCCACCAAACAAAAAGTATCACCTCCAGTAGGTTGCTCACCAAACAAAAATTATCACCTCAAATATTTCACTGAACCAGAATTTATCATCTCAAGAAGATCATACATCAGGAAAAAAATAACACCTCAAGTATATCATTACACAAGGAAAAAAATAACACCTCAAGGATATCATTTCGCCAGGAAAAAAATAACACCTCAAGTATATCATTACACCAGGAAAAAAATAACACCTCAAGTATATCATTACACCAGGAAAAAAATAACACCTCAAGTATATCA